GACGGAATCGCCTTCGAATTGTGTCACGTGGCTTCCGAATTGCCTTCGAATTGTCTTTGGAACGTGTCGCGTGCCCTCCGAATTGCCTTCGAATTGTGTCACGTGGCCTTTGAATTGTCTGTGGAATCGTGTCATGTGCCCTCCGAATTTCCTTCGAATCGTGTTACGTGGCCTCCGAATTGCCTCCGAATCGTGGCACGTGGCCTCTGAATTTCCTTCCAATCGTGACACGTGGCCTCCAAATTGCCTTTCAATCTTATCATGTGGCCGAATTGCCTTCGAATTGCCTCCGAATTGCCTTCGAATCGAGTCACGTGGCCTCCGAATTGCCTTCGAATCGTGTCACGTGGCCTCCGAATTCCGCAATCGCTCTGATACCCGAATTCTTTATTATCTAAATATTTATGTTACACACGTAAATATTTCGATGCAACGTGATCCGTATGCAGCTTTACTTGTAATAACAATTATAATAACAACGTTATTAGCCAACGGGATAAAACCTTTGTTACGATGAGCAATAATATGATGACAGGCACGCAAGGGCGGATGAAATACAAGAACTTGAAACTGAAAAGAAAGGAAAGAGCAGAAGAAAAGAACACGTAATTAAATATAAAAACTTGAGGGAGGAGGGGGGGAAGAGAGGAGAAAAGAAAAGAAATTTTATGCGAGCGGAGATGAGAACGAGCGACGGGACGATAGCGTTATTATTGTACAAACGAATAAAAGTTTAATCTATTGCTTTAATCATGTAATCGCTCTGTCATCCGAATGCTTGCGTTGCTGTTAGTACCATTTTTTTTCAGGATATACGCACACTTATTAACTCTCCGCTACGCGAAACTCGTGTGTCACATTGGATCGTCCGCAGCCAATTCAGTCAATTTTGCGAACGACTGTCGCTCGAAAACCAGCAACAGTATCGACACCGAAAAATTCGAGGATATAATTCGAACACTCCAGAATATCGTTCTTTTTTTCTCTCTCTTTTATTGGTACTCGATATCTCGCTTTCGAGTATATCGAATTAATTCTTAATTTCATTCTTCTCGCGACAATGTCGCTTTTATGAATAATGAATGCGAGACGATTTAGCGCGACAACGGAGAATTGCGAACGATAGCGGTGAAATTGATATATTTTCAGCAAATGTTACAACATTTAAAACGTAGTCTTTGTACACTGTTTACTCGATTCATCGATTCTCCGTCATTCGATGTAAGTTACGCTTTCGTTTTTGTCATTGTAAAAAAAAGAGTACAGTAAATTCTCTCCACAATAGCCCTCAGCTTGTAAATAAAAGTGGACAATGTTATATTATATTAGATATATTATTTATATTATTATATTATTATTATATTATTATATATTATTATTATATATTATATATATAATATAAATAATATATCTAATATAATATAACATTGTCCACTTTTATTTAGAAGCTGAGGGCTATTGTGGAGAAAATTTTCTGTACTTTAATATAATAATATATATAATAATAATATAATAATAATGTATAATATATAATAGTAGTAATAATAATATATATTATATATATTATATATTATTATTATATATTATTTATATTATAGACAATATTATATTATT